TTTATATTCATAGGTATGAGTGATTGTATCGGTCTGGTTGTTTTTTATGTATTAATATGTAAGTATTTACGAAATAATATCTATGTATTTGTATCAGTTATCTAGTACCCATAACACAAGCTTTAGCTAGCTTAACTTGGATCTAGAGGGCGCTGTGTAAATTGTCCTGAGATATTATTATTTATAAGCAAATATTTTATGGACAATGGAGTTGCCTATATTGTGCCTTAACAGTTAAAACTACTAATCTACCAAATTATTACCTTATACAATTACATGTAGGAAGTCGGAGCGGCAAGCTAGTCTGGTAACTAAGGAATTTATTAAACAGTCATATAAAACAAAAGTGCGAAAAATTTCCAAGTATTATGCTCATTTTTTTTGTTAATATGTTTTACGGCTCTGGACACAAGTCCTTTTAGCCCAACTTAACAAGTACATATTAAACAGTCATGTAAAACCAAGATGCGAAAAATTTCCAAGTACCATGCCCATTTTTTTGTTAATAATGTTTACGGCATTAGATATAAGTCCTTTTTAGCCCAACTTAACAAGTACATATTAAACAGTCATGTAAAACAGAGATGCGAAAAATTTCCAAGTACCATGCCCATTTTTTTTTGTTAACACTGTTTACGGCTTTAGATACAAGTCCTTAGCCCAACTTATCAAGTACATATCAAACAGTCATGTAAAATAAAAATTTCCAAGTACAAAGCCCTTTTTATTAATATGTTTTACGGCTCTGGACACAAATCCTTTTAGCCCAACTAAACAAGTACGAACTCGAAGTTTTACAACAAAAATTATCAAAAATAAAGTCAATGTCAATTAAAACTGTTTCGCGTGACACGATCGCGAATGTTGCCATCAAAATCTAATTGAAGTGTTGCCAGATAAGATAACGCTCCCCGTTATGGTGTTATGGGTAATATGTGTTTGTTAACGCTACTTATCGCGGCTACCGTTTATTAATTTCCTTATCGGATTGTAGTCACATGTTTTCTGATGTTTGCGTATTTAGTTTTTCGGATATATTGTAATTACAATATATCTCTTCCAATTGGAAAAGATAGTGTCAAGATTATATTTTAATCTTTTAATCAAACTGATTATCGAGAGTCGTGTTCGGTACTTATTAATATACTACTTGTTGTCCGCGACATCTTCTATTCTTTTTCAAATTCAAAATATCTTGATTCACCTAAGTCTATTACAGGCTTTTATGATATGTCAAATCTACCGTCAGTTCGGAATGATTTCGAGATGAGAAGAACTGACAAGGAATTCAGCTCGTATACCTTTTCAAATAAATGTTATATATGTTTACAATAACATAGATTATTTTTTTAATTCAAAATTGGGAGAATAGAGGGACCATCAGCATATGGTTTATTTAATAATATCTCAAAACAATTTACACAGCGCCATCTAGTCCCACGGTAAGCAGAGCTTGTGTTATGGTTAATAGACAACTGGTATATTCATACATAGATACATTTTTTTGTAAATGTACATAGAAAACACCCAGGTAGAACTTGTGTTATGGATAATTATTTTTTGTAAATACAAACATTATTAGATAAAAATACTCAAAATAATACAAACACTCATCCTGCCTACGAATACAAATGTTTGTACCCTGCGAGAAATCGAACCCGCGACTATCGGAAGTTACATCATTGTAAAAATTAAATCATATAATATAAACTTATATAATGTATAATTATTTTAAAAAAATTACTATTTCAGATCAGTTTCATCACGCAGGAATATGAAAAATAGACCTCCTATTCTCAGAACTACACAGAAAATTCCATAAGAATCGGTCAAGCCGGTTTCGGTGGATTTTTATTACAAACACTGTGACACGAGAATTTTTTATATTATAAGAAGAAAATATATGGATAAGATAGATAGATAGATAGATATATCGTTTATTTGTTACTAGTCACACACATAACATGTTCATAAGAATATAAAAATACACAATACAACATAAGATTTATTAAATTGTGTTATTATGTGTGATCTGTAGCAAAAACAGAAGTGGAAATTGAAGTTGACTTCCAATGTTTTTTTTTTTACTTTTTGACGTATGTACTAACCTTACATATAATGGAAGTTTGCGAGTGTAGATGGATGAACACATAAGTTCATGCGGCTGAAACCGCGGGCATAGCTAGTTAATAATATTTCCAGATCTATATTATTAATAACTATAGCAATACATTTCATCACTAATCGAAAAATCATGTAACCAATCAAAATAACGGAACAAACCCCATGATAGCAAAGGAGCGTAAGTCGGAAAATAAGAAAATTCGTTCATATAATTTTGTATAACTATTATTGTATGGAGAATAGCAATAATTCAATGGATCGGAGTCGGGGATGTCCGGTGCGCAGGGAGCACGTGTCCCGACTTCCGGTGACGCCATCTTTATACTCATCCCCCCTTTCCCCCAGTTTCCGGTAAACGCTCTTGTTCCGTCACGCAACCCCTTGCTTGGGGCCACGAAATGTGAGCTTTATATGAAGACAATATTGTTTTAATTATCACTTTTAATTGTATCCCTAAAAATACTTAGTACAATTATGCTATATTTTAGCATAAAATGCGAAAACTTTTCTGAATTATTAGTGTAAATTTCAAATTGCTTAGTATACATTTCAGTTTAGTTAGGTTTTGTTCGAACTTTGCTAATGCTGGACTTTACAGCTTCACCGGACGATAGGGGGCGATACCAGATAGCACTCCAAATTTGAGGAAGGACTTATTAAGCGGTTCGATTCCTCGCACGGCACGAACATTTGTATTCATGAGTATGATTGTTTGTATCGGTCTGGGTGTTGTCTATGTATAATATGTATGTATTTACAAAACAAAAAAGATAGATCAGTTATCTAGTACCCGTAATACAAGCTATAGCTAGCTTAACTTGGGCCTAGATGGCGCTGTGTAAATTGTCCTGAGATTATTATTATTTATAATTATTACCTTATACAATTACATGTAGGAAGTCAGAGCGGTAAGCTAGTGGCTATTAAGGAATTTATTAAACAGTTATATTATCCTGATATTATATATTATTATATTATATTTTGTTGTAAGATCTACACTGTACAGAATGTTAAAGCAAATACATTATCTATCTTATAACTTGATTTATTTCTGGAGTGAAACTTCCATATAAACATACTCCCAGTATTAGGATTTTTCGGTTACGAAAAAGTGTTACCCTCGCGTGGTAGACGTTATATATCGCGTTGTGCATTGAAGTGTTACTTCTATCACTCACTTTCCTTTATTATTTCAGTACCCGTAATCCAGTTTCAGACATTTTACGGATTGCAAACGCGAAACGTACCAATAGGTTTGTAACTGCAACTGTCAAATATTCGTAAGTACATAATCATAAAAGTCTATTTCAATGAGATTAAAAGATTTTAATTTATATTTATTTATTACTAATTGTTTAACGTTATAAACTACCGGTACGGAACATGAATAGTACCTGAATAGAACTGTCTGTATAGTATTGATGTAATATTATTTCTTTTAATTATTTGTATAAAAATAAACTGTCATTATCTCCAACGTTATGGCCACACGAACTATTCTTATATCCATTCAATCAATCGAACAAAACTATACCTTAATATAACAATAAGGGGTTCATGTTACAATAACATTTGCCTAAACTTCATCCCAAGTTACCATAAAAGGGAATATCATGGCAAAAACGTTTTACGATATCCTGTAGCTAACTTTCATGCGTTTGTATAAGTTTTGCATTTATTTATACATATAATAGAGATATATCATTGGGTATACAAATGTTTGAACATTTATATACCTATATATAAATATACTTTTACTCGAGACTTCTTCCGCATCAATTTTTTATAACACTATTTCTAATATAACTATCCTAAGGTACTCCTTATAATTAGCTATCTTTGAGTGAAAGTTCCGTGAAAATATGTCCAGTCCTTAGCCAGAGATTAGCAAGAACTTTTATTTGAAGATTTATTCTTAGTTTTTTTATGTATGTATAGGACTTTCATAATCATATGTTTCATAAAAAGCGGTTAGTGAAAAGCTAATATTTAGAAATTTATTAACATACATAATACTATTTTTTTTTTATATGCATAGATGTTTGCTCACTACGTTACGTCAGTTGTCCCAATTGGAGTAAGTAGAGAAGTGGTACATATAAATAGAAATAATCTTTATTCAAATAAACTTAACATAAACACTTTTGAGTCATATATTTTTTATTCCACCACTCATTCGGTACGCAGACTCATTACAAGAAGCATGAGAAAGAATCTTGCGTGCTGTTCTTTTGTACCTTTCTCTTTATCTTTTTATTAAATTGTCGACGTCGATGTGACCGAACGACATGCCCACCTTTCCAAGTAGGTATGTATGAATCCAACATCTAAGCAAGTGTGCTCATGGATAAATTTTTGATTGGTTGCCGTTGTCTCCTTCACTGGAGATTTAGTCAAAAATGTAAATAGACACTACTGTTTTGCCGATATCCGACAGAATTGAACTCATGACCTGTTAGTTGCAAATCATTCGTGACGATCCTCTCATCCCAATTATCATAAACTTGTTAATGGACTTATATTTTTTTTAATTCCACTACTATTAGCATGTGTGAGACCACAACTTTCGTTGTGGAAACCTGACCACCGCTACTGGAATCGTTCGAATTCCGACCGTTATGGAGTCTACAACCACATTGCGACACGTGTTTTGCCTCTGAACGAGGCGTCATCAGGCGTTGATTAAAGTTCGGATGTAGCTTGGAAGACTAGTAATGACTGTTCTACGACTAAAGTGTAATAAAACTAGGCTTCATTCAATTGTGCTCTCACACATGCTAATGGTAGCGAATTAAAAAAAAATACAAATCCATTAAGGAATGGAATGGACTTCCGCAATATAACCCATAATTAAATAAAATATATTATAAACTTACCTATTAATACTTGAAACCGAAGGCACATTGTCTTGGCTGCAGATCCCCTCGCTCAGCAGCCTGTCTCTGATCTCCCAGGCGAACATCGTTGGGTTCTCTCTCTTGTATGCAGCGATCGCGTCAACTACCGGAGGTGTGGCAACTTTGGGCTTCGAACCGCCGATCACGCCAGCTTTGAAGCTTCCAGTCTCGTAATACCTAAAGAAATAAAAAAAATATATAAAAATCATAAGAAAAAATCATTTATTCATTTAGGACAATTAAGCCACTTATGAAAATTACCTAAAGAAACAAAAAAAAACTGTAAAAATAAAAATAAAAATTATCTTTTTCATATAGGACGTTTTAGCCGCTTATGAACGTCAGGTTTTTTGTATTAATATTTTTCTTCTACCGTCCAGTTCAGTACAGATTCAATTGAGAACTGGCATGAAATTCAATTGATTTTTTTAAAGCCAGTAGCTTTCAGTCACCAATAACTAAAATATCAATACCTAAAAGAAATTAAAAAGAAAATACTGAAAAATAAAATTAAAATTGTTTTATTCATGTAAGACATTTTAGCCGCTTATGAAGATTAAGTTTTTTCCAATTCAGTAAACAGATTCAATTGAGAAGAACTGGCTCAAATGAATTTTTTTCTTAAAGCCAGTTGTTTCCAGTCTCGTAATACTTAAAAGAAATAAAAAAAAAACTGTAATAATTAAAATAAAAAATCATTCATTCATGTATGATATTTTAGCCGCTTATGAACGTCAAGTTTTTTTGTATTAACATTTTTTCCCTACCGTCCAGTTCAGTATACAGATTCAATTGAGAACTGGCATGAAATTCAATTGAATTTATTTATTTTAAAGCCAGTTGCTTCCAGTCTCGTAATACCTAAAAGAAATAAAAAAATACTGTAAAAATCTAAATTGAAAATCATTTATTCATGTAGGACATTTAATCTGCTTTTAAACGTGAATTCATTTAAATTCAATTTATTTACTGGATCATATACATAATGATCTTAAAACTATAATTATTCCAAACATTGCCGCCGTTTCCGTCGTGGGAAAAATTACAAAAACATTCAAATTACATTAATAGTAAAATAATTACAGTATGACACTGAGTCTAAATAAAAAATATTATTATTACAATCCATTATTATCATTTAAATAATGATTTTTGGAATAATAGCATTTATTTAATAATTATGTAGTACAAAACAGTCGCTGTCGCTGTCTGTCCGTCCCTATGTATGCTTAAATCTTTAAAACTACGCAACGGATTTTGAAGCGGTTTCTTTTGATAGATAGAGTGATTCTAGAGGAAGTTTTATATGTATAATACATGTACACCCGTGCGGAGCCGGGGCGAGTAGCTAGTTCTTTATTTAAGTTTAATTTGTTTTATGTTCAAATTCCTATAATTATCTGGAAGATGATTGAAAAAAATTATGACTATACAATATATATTAATTGAAAAGTGTTAATTTAACTGAATTAATAAATAATTACTAATTTAAAAATATTCACACAAATTGTTATATATATAATAAAAGAAAGTAGCTGAACAGAAGGCTCTTATTAAAACTTAAATAAATAATACAAATAAAGAGTGTTGTAAGTAGTAGAGGACGTAGTGTGTATGTAAGTCTGAGTGTTTTCTATGTATATTAAATAAAAAAAAAAAGTATTTTATCAGTTGTCTAGTACCAATAACACAAGCTCTGCTTATCTTGGGACTAGATTATTATTACTATATAAATTCTGAATGAAAAAATGAAATTGATAATCGAAACGCGAAAGAAATCCCAACATATTGATACATCGGAGACTCCCTACACCCTTGTATGTAATCCCAAATCAACCATAAAGTGACCCTCTATTACAAAAAACGCAGGACAATCCCGAACTGAGAACAACAGGCCCACTCACGCCCTCGTCTCCCGAGACGCGGCATTAGAGTGTCGAAATTAAATTCCCGGCCGCTCAATAAAATAATGGGACAGTATTATGACAATTTGATTAGTTGGTCGCCCTACCCTTTCGCTGAGTGCAGGGTGAATTGTCTCAATGATTTATTGCATTTTTGCTTTTTTGCTGCGAGCCCGCTTTCTGATTGGATTTATGGTAATTGAAATACTCTTTTGTAACTAGATTTAACTGGTATGAACTAGTTTGTAAACTATGATAAAGAAAGAAATAAAACTATGACGTAATTCTATCTGGTATATTTTTTTGCCTGGACAATTCATACAGGTGATGTTTCAGGCGTCTATAGGTTACGGTAACTGTTTACCATCAGATGGGCCGTATGCTTCTCTGCCATCTACGTGGTATAAAAATATACAATGCCACATAGTCCAAAAGTAAACACAGCTTGTGTTATTGGTACTAGATAACTGATAGATATAGTTTTTTTATAAATACATAGATAATGCCCACAGAGCACTATAACGATTATGGAATTTGCAGAAACTTCCAAATTCGCATTGTTATAGATGTTGATGTATACACAAACCTATCATAAAAAGTTGAGAATTTTATAGAATCTATTGTAAAATATGAGAAAAGTTTAGTTGAGAAAATTAACAAAAATTTTTAATCTGATAATATATGATAGACATAATGATTTTCTATTAGAAACTAGGTACAGGTATTTATTAGAAAAAAATACTATAAAATGAAAATAAAAGGAAAAAAAAAGAAAATGTGTTCAGATTCAATTTTAAACAGTGACTATCATCAGAATATGTTTAAAACTGAATTAAGTCAATATGTCAAATGTAATAAATTTTGGAAGTAATTTCATTAGTAGACTAGAACAGACCAGTTCCTACAAACAACGCCCGTTCACGAGTATGACTTAAATATATAATTTGTCCCATGTCAGGTAAACAATACTCCATAAGTATGGAGATAGTAAAAAACTCTCACGTCAAATCCATCTAGTTTCATAATAAGGATACTGAGATGGGACACAATAGTCGCATCCCCCTCCAAACCTCCCCAGGGAGGAGGGCGCACGATAATGGATTGTTTCACGTTAACACAAAATAAGCATATTTATTATCAGATGCTTGTGAATATATTGTTATATTTATTTATTTATTTACTCATACGTCATACTCGTGCACGAGTGGAAACTGATCTGCTCTTATCACTACGACTGATTTAATCTTATTGTGTATTTATATTTGACCCTAAAAATTAGTGCTAGTTGGTAGTTTGTATTCACACTTGAAAAATGTGAACTTACAAGGATTATTTAAAATAGCAACACATAAGTTTCTTGCTCATTCTTCTTGTGATGAGTTCTCCTGTATTCTAATGAGTGGTAGAATAAAAAAATATGCTTCTTCAAAAGTGCTTAAGTTAAGTTTATTTAACTAATGATTATTTTTATTTCTAAGTTATGTTTAGTAGGTATTGCTATGTTTAATAGGTACATCTAGATATATCCCAATATTGTATTATCTAAGTAATAATAAAATTATTTAAAAGAGCAACACGCAAGGTTCTCGCTCGTTCTTCTTGTGATAAGACAGCTTTCCGAATGAGCGGTAGATTAAAAAAATGTGATGACTATTCAAAAGTGCTTCAATGTAAGTTCTTCTATTCTATTCTGAAGTCGAACTATTTTTGAAAGAAACAAACATTTTTCTTTCTTTTTTTATTTTGTAACATATATATCTATTATCTAATATATAAAATTCTCGTGTCACAGTTTCGTGTTTATACTCCTCCGAAACGGCTTGACTGTTTCTAATGAAATTCTATATGTAAATTCAGTAGGTCTGAGAATAGGTTTATAACATATTTTAATTCTCCTAAGTATTAAGAGTGGCTCACCCCAAAAATAAGTTTTGCATCAACATTTTTTATTTTTATTTTTTTATTATGTGTCATTAAAAAATACCAACACCTATTATTTCATGGCAATATTTATTTATACAACAAAACATTTGCCGAGATAGTTATTTATATATATATAAATATTCATACTACTTAATATGAAGTGGCAATAAGTGGATTATTACCACGAAAACATCTTAACAGGATTCGAACTGTGGACATAGCTAATTCAGTGTAGGGGCGAGTGCATAGCGGGTGTTTTGTGGAATTATTCACAAACGCTATCGAGATAAGTCAATTACAAGTGTGATCACACCCTAAGTGAGTGTATCTATGTACACTCGTCTACTAAACTCTTTACTGTGTTTATTTAATTGAAATTATTTTTAATAGAACAGTGAAGTGGCTTGAAGCCTGTGAAGACACTTGAAGGTTTTTGCGTTTCTGAGAGGAGCTTCACATCCTGGGAATAGGGAAGTCGTTGCGTGAAGTTTGTGAAGACCTGCAGGCGTTTCTGGGAGGGGCGTAAATATTACATCGTAAACCTTATATTTATATTATATCTTAATAATATAACAAATGCGAAAGTTTGTAAGCATGATGTTTGTTACTCTTTCACGCAAAAACTACTGAACGGATTTTGATGAAACTTAACAGTAACATAGCATACATCAGAATAATATATAGGCTATAAATTTAACGCGAGTGAAACCGTGGGTATAGCTGCTATACTATACAAAGTCCCCTACTCCCCCCGCTCTTTATAAATGTTTAAAACAGTTTTCTACTCATCTATACATAGTCAGCAATATACAAGGGAGCATGGTTAGGAATCCACGGGGACGCTCGCTAACATTATCGTACTGTCACTGCGGAGGGTGCCGTACCACTTTAGAGCACCGTCGGCAGATATTACTGGCAGTCGGTAACACGATCAAAATTACTTTCATTACTTGTTATATGTCTTTACTACTTGTGCTCGTGGTTTTAGCCGCGTGAAATCTATAGCCTATATTTTTTTTTATAACACAGGGGACAAACGAGCATGCGGCTCACCTGATGGTAAGTGATTACCGCCGCCCATGAGCACCCGCAACAACAGGGGAATTGCAAGTACGTTGTCGGCCTTTTAAAATGGAATAAGCTCTTTTCTTGAAGGTTTCAATATCGTATCGGTTCGGAAATACCATTGCTAGAAGGTGATTCCACAATGTGGTTGTGCGTGGCAGTATGTGTTAATCTGATGTATAAGCAATGTTACTGTAAAGTTTCATTAAAATCAGTTCAGTAGTTTTTACCTGAAAGAGTAACAAACATCAATACACTTATCCATTCATACTCACAAACTTTCGA